TACATTACCTGTCTCTAACATAGTTAATTTTTCTCTTGGTGATATTAAATACAAGTCTTCCAGAGATAATAATTTTCTTTGGCCAGTAATTCAGAAAACCTGTAGTTAGAGCACTTAACTAAATCTGATTATAAGTTTCTGAGAAAAAGAGTGCCCCAAATCTTTGCCTGCAAATTTCGAGATCTTCATTACAAATTTTTCATCATTTTACTGGCTTCTGAAAGAACTAATGTCTGAGTAATTTGCATGACTTCTGCTGGATCTTGTCCCATCCAAGGGCCTAATTATGAACAGGCACATGACTAATTGCTGTAATAAGTTGGCACTCTAGAGTCTATTGATTTGACTGCAATTACTCACACAAATGTAAAGGCAGGTGCTGAACACTTCCTGCAGATTTTGCAAGGAAAATGTCCATGTATTTCTACCAAGATTGCAAGGTGTCTTTCCTCTGCAGCTAGAGCAGGGATTATTATCAGAAGCAGATCATGCCCCACCTGAAACATGCCCCACTGAAAGATAAGCTGTTACTCCACTTTTTATTGCAACCAACTCTGACAAATTACTTTTACAGTTCTTCCTAAGCACATGCCAAAGCACCAGGAACAGACACTTTAAACTCTACTCTCATTACAAGAGCTATGTTCCCCTTAAAGAAAGATCCTTGGTTAACAGGACTTTCAGCCTCAACAGCTCTGCATCAGTCAGAAAATCAGTCTGTGCTACAGTGAGTTAATTGACCTCACTTTAAAAGCCTTTCCACGAAAGTAGATTTGATATTTTTCTGGCAATTTTAATCAAATAGAATACTTCTAGGCACCAATTAGCAGACAACTGGCTCTTTAGGTCTTGACCTTTCATACACTTGAGATTTATATGAAGCACAGATATTACAGTTATTAGAAATGTTAAGAGGGCATATATAATGTGCTTGTAACAAAGTCTTCCACGAAAGAGAACCCCTCCTCTCCACCACTTCATTTCTGGCTGTAACCTAACACACATAGTTCAGTTAGATTTTTTTTTATATGCTTTTGCTGAATATTTAAAGCTGACTGCTAGGAAGAACCTTTCCAAGGCTCAGGTTTTCAGCCAATTCTGTTCACTATATAGGAGGTCAAATGGCAGACCATGAAGTGATTTCAAGCCACCTCTCTTATCAAATGCAGTATCATAAAACAAGTGTTCAGTACATCTTCAGAGTGAGGAAAGGTATAAATAAAAAATGCTTCACCTTCCAGGTAATATTTAACAGATTTCAAATATAATTCACACTTACTGAAAAAACTACATGTTGCAAAGACTGAAAATCGTTAATCTTACTCATACAAAAAAACGCCTTAAACAATTTTTAAAAGAGCAAATACATTTTCAAAAACTGGTGACTGAGGAATAATTGGCATTCCTAAGAAACTCTAAGGAAAAAATACGATGAAAATGTAAGTTAGAAGAATTTCCTTAATACAAGAATGCAAGAGTGGCTGTATTACTCTGCACCAAAGCTTCAGCTACAAGAATCTCTGGTCTCCGAGGAGGCCAAATGGACACCTAGAAAAGATCGTAAGAACAGACCAAGCACGTTTCCCGAGCACTCTAACTACTGGTGGCTCAAGGACTTCCTGAGCCAGATGTGATTTCCAAATAGTACACAAACCTCAGTTAATTTACTTCCATGAACTTGTCCAGCTTTCTCCTGAGCCTCTGTAGCCACTGGGCACACACAGATACACAGATGCAGAGCTCACTCGGCACGGAACAAGGAACTATTTCCCCCAACCTGCCTCTTGCCAACCTGACTCCCCTCACCATTTGCGCTGAAACTGATCATTTATTGTCTCTTACTATTTACCTTCTACAACATCAAACCTGTTTTATATGTTCATCATATTCTCACTTAGTTCTGCTTTCTTCTGATGGAAGCATCCTTATTTATTCATTTCTTTCATGTAAACTCTTTCATGTCTATAATGAATTTCATCACCCTTCAACAACCTTTGCTTGTTTTCTTATCTATAGGAAAGCAAGTAAGAACTGCACACATATTCAAAATATGAAAACTACGGATTTATACAGTGGCATAATGATACCTCCAGTCCTTTCCTAATAATTCTCAGTATTTAATTTGCTTTTTTGATCACTAATAAACATCAAGCTGATGTTTTCATGGAAATGAATCTAAGATCTCTTTCTACCACATAGTGATGCTAGTAGGTTTTTTCTTGCAGCCAATTTTTCTTAAAAATAGAACAAAACCAACCAAAATCCTGAAATCCCAATCCATTAGGAATTCAGCAATAACTATTACTTTTTTTCAAGAGAAAAGGTAGAGGTTTATCTATAATAGTCTGATTTATCTCTTAATTATTACAATACATATAAATCACCATTAGAAAAGTATATATTCACCAGAGAAGCTTGTTTGCTGCATTACTGTTGAGTCTGTTAGACCTCCTAAAACAGGAGACTCAAAAATCCAGCAAAGGATTCTGGAGTTTTAAGGCCTTGAATTCCCCCTACAAAGAGGAAAAAAACCCCTAGTTTTGTTAAACCTCTTGAAAAAAAAAGGAAATGCCCTGCAAGAGGATAAATTGTGTGCTTATGTATCATTGCTTTCTTATTTCTAATTATTTTGCAATCTGACACTATCCAGCAAAATACAGAAAAGGCCACAGCTTCCTGCAATCACTATATTAAATGATACACCTATTTATTAAATTATGTTCTGCTCAGGTCTGATAAAATATTTCATTTTCCAGTAACAGATGAAATAGACACAAGTCATCTGCAAGGTGAACATCACAACATCTTTTAAAGTAGAAATGCTTTTAGTTGGGGCAACTGCATTCATAATCTTAGGCTAATTCGTTACTAAAAATACAAGGCGAAAGAAACATAAACATAGAAAGATAAATGCAATTATCTACTAAAAATAAGCTATTATAATAAAAAACTGGACTTCCTGACAAATGGAAGTATTTGGCCTGATGCCCTTCACTTTCACCACTACAATTACTCCTTCTCTTACTGAATAGGCAAATGCTTAACCTCTCAGCAAGGGTGATGAGCTTATCTTACTTACACACAGGATGCTGTAAACTGAAATTAGCCAATAACAAACACTAAGTTTTTAGGTGGATTACCAGTTTGTTTCTTGGGTACTGTACAAGTAATGCACAAGTAATTCCACAGCACAACTGCACTTCTTCAGAATTAGAGAGAACTAAAAATTATCAGACAGTAATAACAATTGCAGTTATTCTGGGTCAGAGAATAGAGACAGAAAAAAAATTACAATAAATTATCAACCGCTCCAAAAAGAAAAAACTAACAAGATGGGTATGAATCCAATCCTCCTGGGTTACCCCAACAGCTTGCAGCAATGAGGCAGTTCTAAAGGAAGCACCTGTGTGCTTTAAACAGATGGCAGAGGGAGAGGGGGCCCTTCCCACGAAGGGCTACAGCTGGAGATCCTGCCCAAACCTAACTCCCTGCAGTCAGGCTCCGGGCACCACCAAGAGAAACTGCCTCTTTCCAGAGACTATCTGGACAACTTAAGCCCTTGATTTATTCTGACTGCTTTGTTAGGTGTAACTAGGTGGAGTGACTCCATCCAAGGGCAAGGATAGAGAAATTAATAAGACTATCTGATAAATATTGCAAAAAATATTTTTACTGAAAAGTGGTCAACTAGCATATAAAAATTTAAGTCTAGCATTTTGATAAAATCACACAATTGTCAGAAGAAAAAGTATGGAAGTTAGCAACATCAGCATGCTGGTAGTCCATCTTTATTGTTTCTGTCTCCCAAACCACCTTCCCATTTCTTTAGGTGCATCAGCACCTTTACTTTCTGTAAGTACATTTTGGGGATTTTTTTCTCTTCTTTTTGGTTCTATTTCCTTCTGTCCTTTCTGCAAGTCCACACACCACAGATATGAGTGCTGATACTTTTCTAAAGAAAAAGCAAAACTTCCCAGTGTTCCTTGCAGGCTTGTCTGTTAACCTCTAATGCTTTTCACACAAAAAACTAAACCCCAAAGCAAACAAAAAACCAACACAAAGAACCTCACAAAATAACTGTCAATTTCATCCAATTTCTTTAACCTTTCATCCACAAAGTTATTTAATCTAAGAAAATCTGCAGGACTAGAAATTCTGCAGGAATGGGCAGGAAATTGTTTTGGAAACACTGTAGAGACATTTCTGTAAATTGGATCTGCCGTAAATTATATTTTTATACATTATTATATGTTTGTAACTCACATAAGAGATACATGGGTACAAAAATCATTGTTGCCTTGGTTTAAACAGACTCCAAACACCCTGCTGCAACTATGACAACACACACTGTCTCAACTTGGGCACTGAACAAATATTTTTAACAAAACATATGTTTTCTGCTAAAGAAAAGATAACATCCTTAATTCATCCATGGAAAGAAAAGTCAAAGGACACTGCGATTTTAAGAACTGGTATTTCAGATTACATATCCTGTGGTACATAACCAGACTTGAGAGTGAGACACAGCACACTTACACCAACAATGTACCAGTTTATCAGCTGATCTCTGACTCCACATAACTGGTTAAACAAAAAGCAAAAGTATTGAAAAAGACATTATTTAATACAACTCAATCTAATTAAAATAGTCCACAACAAAAGCTCTTGATATAGTGAGCATTACTAGGGTTTAGCACAGTGATTTACTCTGAAAACAAATTTTATGGCACAACGTATTCAAAAGCAAAATAATTTCATAAGTAGTTAAATGCAAAATACTTTGCACACTTCTTCTCCCCTGGAAGCTTTAACTCTTCCACTTGCCTTAACAGGTCACAGTCAGGGCAGCATGCAGTGTTAAATTTGAAGTGCATGCTGGTGAAACCAAGTGTTCAAATTTTGAATTGCTGAGCCACGGCACACCATTAAATTTTAGAAATTTTAGGGAGCCAACAACTCTCAGGAATATTCTCAAGAAGGAGATCAAGATAATTACTTACCTGCCAAGAGACGGCCCCCAAAACAGCAGTCGCGACCAGGCTGAAGAACACCAGCTGTTCCGAAATCAAACAGAAGTGACGCATTCCTTTAGATGCCATAACTCTGTCCAAGCTGTTGTTTTCTGCACGGTGGGTGTAGTATACCTTGTGACAGTCATTTAGTTTTGTGTGAAATCCCCAAAGAGTTATAAAAAAAATCACATGACAGATCATCCAGAAAATTCCAAAAATAGAAAAACCAGGTATCACAAAATACCAGAGATCCAAATCACGTAGTTTAAAGGCTGCAAGAATGAAAAAGGTGAGTTCAATGACTCCAACTGAGAGGACAGAAAGCCTTCTGCAAATTTTGCCACGATACAGGTAGGGCTTCCACCGTTCAGTTACTGAAAGTCCACTGAAGTAAACGTCAAGAAGGGGATCAGAAATGAGGCAGCTGAAGAAACATGCCAAGGCAAAAGGGTTTGTGGGAATTTGCAGTGATGGAAAAAAGAGTAGGGATGCAATGGCTCCAAAAATTGCCAAATTTGGAATTGCCAAAAAAGACTTCATACGTAAGTCAATAATCAACATGGCCAAAGCCATGACCAACAGAATAATACTCATAGATTTTTCTACCAGCATAGTTGTGCTGGCAATGGCGAATCCAACTAGCTCTAAAAATTCAACTGTTGTCAGTAGAGTCGGTCGATGATGGACACAGCCACAAATCCTCTCAACCAAAGCACATAATATCCTTAAAACAATGGCGGAGAGGAGCAGATATTTAGTAGCTTCTTCTTTCACATCCCTTTTGAAGGCAGAATTATTAAGAAAACAGAGAAGGCCAAGCAAAAAACCAAACCAAAGATTGGAGAGACTCAAACTTGCTGTTTCCATTGAAAAATAGTAGTACAGTATGCTGGCAATTCCAAGAACAAAGAGCCCCAGAATAAATATTACCAAAATCAGTGCATCTGCAGTTTTTTCCCATCTGACATAAAGGCCCATGCAAATGGCAACCAGCAGGTTGATTCTGGCAAGATAGCCAAGGTATCTGACTGATGAGTGCATGTTCACTTCCCTGTTTGCTTCTTCTAGCCTTGTCATTGCTGCGTAGAGACAATGACTAACACAGTAACGCAGTGACCTACACATGTAAACTGCAGTTAGGGGGTTTCACCCACTTGACTGAAAGTAAATATTCGGGTTTCATTCAACAAATACAATGCAATCTCTGCCTTCTGTAGTATCATTTCAGTAACAGTGGTCCAGAATCCTCAAAGTCCTGGAAGAGAATTAAAAAAAGTTTTAGTGGAAAATAATCCCTTTTAATTATATGGAGCATAAACATGACACATCCTTTCTCACCAAGGAGTTAAACATCTAAATTAACACATAAAAAAGATCAAGCAAGTGTGTTGCTAAAGGTCATGCAAACTGGGGTCATTATTAAAACCAATATAAAATGGGTTCTGCATAAATCTTGCTTCATAATTTGAATGAGTGGAAAAGAAACCTCACCTGTGCAGTTTTCCACAAAACTCATCCATTAGGTACCTATATTAGATATCTGTGGATATCCAAAATATTGCTATGATAGCCATTACCTTCTAGAATAGTTCAGTATTGTTTTAAAATACTGTTTTATTTCACCATTACATCCAATAAGTTCTCACTTTATACTAAATCTTTTCAGTATGCTTTGCAAGACTTCCTCTTAGCACTCAAATAACTACAGGATTTACAAAAAGAACTTCACACTCAGTTAATGAGCTTAACCCACAGTAAATAATGAAAAGGTTATTATCATTTATCTCCATTTCACAAAAGGGGACTGGACACACAGATGTATCAACTGATCTGGCATGATTTTCAGAGATTTTTCCTAATGTAAAATCAAAGCATTAATTTTCACCTATTCAAGCCACTTCCTCCCCTCCCCCAAAAGCAAGCCAAAAAAAATTTATCAGGATCAATATTACATTTACAACAGAAGAACCTCCTACTCAGATCCATTTAACTGACATGATTTTCTTATTAATATAGTATAGGAACAGACAGTAGTATTTTTAATGGGAATTTTGTAATGTTATCGGCACAGTCTCCAACACATAAGAAGACTTAAAATGGAGCCTCTATCAATTATAAGTAATTAACTAATTGTCCGTTTTACAGACATTTCTGAAGAGTTACTGGTATGACAGAGCAACCAACGTGCGAAGAACACTCAGTGCTCACTACCTGTATCTATAAAGCCAGGGGAACTGAAATTCAAAACTTAGACTTTATTCTCTCTTGATTTTTAAATTCTCATTTTTCAAACCAGCGAACAACAAATGATAAAGCGAATTGACTGAGTTGCTCGTAAGTTTTGGTAGATTTGAAGACTGGCACTTAGCGTAAATCCAGCTTAAATAATTGGTATAAAGACCGACTAGGCCTAAGACATTCTATTGCTTAAATTATTTATTTGGTAACACATATTTTCAAATTACATTAAACATCTAACAACACTAAAGATACTACTCGGAAGAAGTACACATTAAAAATCTGTTTACTTGAAACAGAATACATACCATATACTTAAAGCAAATGGTTATTACATGAAGTTATTGCAAATTAAAAGTTCTTTGGATCTCAACTGTGCATTTTTACAGTTTTCATTATTATTAGCGTTTTATCAATATTAACTTAATTCTGACTTGTCTGGATTCAAGATCTCACAATATTTCTCCCCTTACTTTTACCTACTGTTCCTCTCAACCTTTAATCTGTTTTTACATTATATAGGTAACACAGACCTGTTAGCTATCATATTCCAGGTCACGATACTTTAGGTTTCGCAGCCCTGTCTGCAGCCTCACTGTCTCTTGTACTACAATCAACATTTGCTTTATGGACAACTCAAACCATTTACTTCAACTGCTATACATGCCCTGCCTCCAATTCTCTCTTGTTCAAACCACGAACATAGAGGAACAATTTCCCATCTCCTTCCAACCCACAGCACTGACATGTGATTACTGCTATGCTGAAGAACATCTGCCACACCATCCTGTTTATATTGATTCCTGAGCCTTTCTGGAACCCCTCCAAGTCAAGGGGCTCACACTATATGCGTTCATTTGGACAACAGCAAGCAAGCAGGAATGAGCCCTTTGCTCATATGCAAAGGGCAGAAGATCCCATCTAACACCTGGCTTAGAATTTTGCTGTGATCAGTAAATTATTTTCTGGTGGGATAGGTAACACGAGCAAACTCCTTTGCAGGCAAGCAGCTACTGTGACAGAAAACTGCCAAGCAGAGTTTGCTGCCATCACACCAGGAGCAATACGACAGAGAAGCTCCCCTGCTGCTGCCCCACAAGCTGCGTTCGGTGCCGGGGCTGGGCAACACATCTGTTCCTTGAGGAAAGACACAAATGCTGCTTGAGCATAAAGTATTTGCAAAATGACAGCTTGGACTGTGAATGCAATCTCCTCTTCCTGGCTCCACCTTCTAAACAATTAGCAAAAATGTGCAGACCTAAACCACGCTATTAATCATTAGCATTTTTCTAACCAAAATACATGGTCAGCTTTTTGGTGAAGAGGAAAAGGTGCATTTTCATGATTAATGCATCCCATCACGCAGCTATTACCAAATACACAGAAGACAGCAATTCAATTTTAATGAGATGTTTCAGTAACTGATTTATTCTCTCAAATGCAGCTACTTGTTAGTAATTTCAATTAATACTTTGGCTGTTTACACAAAGACATGGGGGGTGGTGGTGTTTGTTTCGTTTTAAACTAATGGCCCTAAAGTTTTGGGTTGAACACGAGTTACATATCTCAGCAAATCACATTTAAATTCCAAACAGAATGTGGACGCCCACTTTTAAGTATTTATCAACTTTTGCAAACATAATTATAAGAAAAACCTGGAGTCTCAGTACAGATTTAGAGATTAAATTATCTAAGACCTTTCTTATATGTAAAGGAACACTGCTCTCAAAGTAGTTTTTACCCTAATTTGTCTAAGAAAGTTGAAAAAAGTACCAAAACCCAAAGCTGGTTTAATAGTTTATCTTCGGCTGACTTTAAGTCCAGGTGAGGCCCACCTGAAGAATTAAACCCGGTTACCTACAGCTTTATTCTTCCAGTTTAGCACTTTTCTTTTTTTTAACAAAAAGCCGTATTTAGCTAACATATCAACACAGCAGCTTTAACCCCCCGATGAATGACTCCGGTAGTTTCCAGAGGTTCACACCGCGCCCACAGCGGGATCGCCGATGCCGGGCGCGGGGAGCGCTCCCGGCGGTGCTCCGTCTGCGGGGCCGGCCCGGCCGGGGCGGGTCAGTGCCGGCACCGGGCTCCGCGCCGCGGGTCCCGCAGGGGGCCGCCCCGGGACGCCGCTCCGTGCCGGCGGTCCCCGTGCCCCGTGCGGGTGTCTGACCGGCCGAGCCGCGCTCGGTGCCGGTCCCGCCTTGCCCCCGGCCCGGCCCGCTCCGCTCTCACCTCCACAGGCGGCCCGGGGCCTTCCCGCCCCCCGCGCCGGACGCCGCCATGTCGAGCCGAGCGCGGCGCTCCCGCTACGGGCCGCGCCGAGGCTCAAATGCCGCCGCGGCGCCCGGGCGCGGCCGGACAGAAGTATTTAAAAAAAGCCAAGCAACAAAACACCCAAACCCCCAACCAAACCTATAAACACCGTCAAGTAGTGCTTAGGCACGGAGGCGGGAAAACTGTGTTTGAATCAGGACTGCAAGGCCAAGTGAGCCCTCTCCATCCTCTGGCACGCTGGTGACTCGACCACCTGTGTTTCCTTACACTCTGTGTCGGATATGCACGTTTTGAATTGGCCCTTGCAGGCAGGTGGGCAAATAGCGGGAAGTTTCTGGATCTTAATCGCTCCACGGCTTAGAGAGGCAAACCAAGAGGAGTGTGAAAGCAGCTCAGACAGCTGCTGTGCAGCGGCTCTATGAACTCCAAGTGGGCTGGGCTGCTGGGGAGATACATTCTTTGTTGCTGTAATTGCTTCATCCCTTACTGTGCCCAGTTCTGGGCTCCTAAGAGGAAGCGAGGTGGAGCTCCTGGAGTGGGTCCAGCGGAGGACAACAACGGATGACTACGGGATGGAGTACCTCCCTTACAAGGACAGGCTGTGGGAGTTGGGCCTGTTCAGCCTCAAGAAGAGATGACTGAGAAGTGACCTCGTCAACGTGTATAAATATCTAAAGGGGAGAGTGCCAAGAGGGTGGACCCAGGCTCCCTGTGGTAGTACCAACCACTGATGAACAGGAAGTTCCACCTGAATATGAGGAAGAACTTCTTCACTGTGCGTGTTAATGCACACTGGAACAGATTGCCCAGTCTCCCTCACTGGTGATACTCAAGGACTGTCTGCATATAGTCCTGTGTAACGTGCTCAAGGATGACCCTGCTTGAGCAGGGAGGTTGGACTAGATGACCCACTGTGGTCCCTTTCCAACCTTAACCATTCTGTGATTCATCACAACTAGCCTCTTCTGCCCCTAGTCAAAGAGTACTAGGGCTGACACCATTAAACATCTGAATGTGACCGTCTGTCTTTTCTGCCTCAACCATTCAGACAACTGATTCACAAGAATGTCAAGTTGTCTCCAGAATCATTACTACTCTTCAAATTTTAAATAGAACAGGCCAACAGGCCTAAAAGTTACATGGGTTAAAAAACAACAAAAACAACAACCATAAAAACTGTAACCCCCCCCAACCAACCAACCCAACAAAACAAAAAAATCCACAAGCTGCTTCCCTTTAACAAACAGAACAGTGGAACTCTCAGTTGCTTAGGGAAGGTCACATGCTTCAGATGCTTTACCATCATTCATGGACAATATTTCATTGGTACTGTATCCGTCCAACTGTGATTTAGGAATACTCTTCAGGCAACTATTGATACTTCTTGGTGAATATTTTACTTAGAAAGTAAAAAAAAACAGCAAAGTTTCTGTGCAAGTCTGTGAAATCAAACCTTTCTAAAAAAATCTTCTTGCTATTCTACAAGTCTAAAACAATTGAGAAAAACTGAGGAAACAAAGAAAAACAAGCAGAAAACCTGCTGCTGATTCATGGAGATATGATTAAAAGCCTTAGAATGATCACACTTTTAAAGCAAGTCAGCAAGACTCCCTGAAGCAGAAAAGGACAGAAAGGTTCTGCAGGAAGCAGTACTGAGCACAGCTGTGAAATGCTATTTACTGTCAAGCAGAAGACCAGAATATACTAGTGAGGCTCTGCAGTGCTGGGGACACACTTCAAATCTGCTGAAATTGAATCTTCCTACAATCTGGATCTGAGAAGGAGCCTTGAATTTTCAGTTCTTTGGCTTTCTTTTTCCATTGCCATCCTTTTCTCAACACCTCCAGTACTCAGAATCAAGATGTAGAAAAGTACAGCAATGACCTCAAAGGGGCAACCTACAACAGGTGCTACAAAAATATTTCAGGGAGATAGAGAAGAAATTAAGAACATGTAGTGAGAGATGAGAGTAACTGAATTAGAAAGAGGTCAGTCATCCTAAGTGGGCAGGCAAAGAAACATGATACAGGATCAAGTGGAGGAACTCCAAGAGCCCTTCTAAAAAGCAAAAACTTCAACTGAGATGTAGAAGCTGAAACTAAAGTACCAAATTTAACATCTCTACTGGTTATAAAATAAACCCAACACAACTATTTTCTTGATGATAAGGAAAATAACTCTGCACTGATTTCACTGGATTTCAGCATAAACAAATTGTCCAGAAAGAAAACACAGTATCTCCACCCCAAAGAATTTTTTTAAATGTTTTCAGTTTTTCAGATGTTTTTTAATAAATGTGCTTTGTTCTGAAAAAGTAGTGACATAAAAGACAACAGAAATGCAAATACACATTTTCTTCATTTTCTTCTCCAGCACCTTAAAAATGAGAGATCTCTTGCACATGCATAATTTTCAAATATTTCATAACCTAGAAATATTCTTCTTGAACCAAAGCCAAATATACAACAACTCCTGATACCTCCATTTTATTGTTCAGGGAGGTGTAAGTATTTATGTAAATCCCACTTTCTTCCTCCACCACAATCTACTGTCCCTTGTGGAAAAAAATAATACAAACCAAAACAAAAAAGGAAAAAAAATCCCAAACAAACAAACCACAAAACCAAACCACCAATGAACTCACTTCAGGTATTTAGAATGATAGTCAAGAAAACCAAGCTGTTATGATTCCCAGGTCCCTAACCCACAGTGTTGTCACAAACCTGTCAAAAAGGTGTAAAGTTTGAATGTTAGTATTTTAAACCATTTTGGGGGAGGAAAAAATCTTAATCTGAATTGCCTTTTTTTTTTTGGTATTAATCACAAACCAATTTACATTAGTCAATGCCAAAATATATGTTTTGTGAATCAGGACTCTTGTATGTCTAAACATAATTCTTTTTTTCATCAAAATATAATTGTTCGGTCTGTATTACTATATCATTTAGATTGAATAACAAATTTGAATCAGGTATTTAGGAATGCTTTAAATTCAAGAAGAGACACAAAAAGCTTATGTTAAAAAATACAGCACCATAGTCCAGACCACATTTGAGCGTAAGCTAGACCAATGCTGATTACTCTATGCAGGAAGTAGTATAAAAGAAAAACAGGTAGGTCAAGGTGTGACAGTTTCAGTGCAAAATTCAATGGAAGGAGTAAGTTTCATTTTCGTAGCAACCACTGTAAAATCCACACTACAACTTCAGTTTATCTGGTAACTTCTGTATTATAACTACCAAATGTCAGATTAATATGGTGCATTTCCTCACAACCACCTGTGAAACTATATTAGTATTTTTTACCAATTTGCTGAAGTTGGACTTAAAACCATGACGTGGCACCTAGTTCAATTCATTTATTAGGCACTTACATATAAATTTAACAGCCTAACATTCAAATCTGAAAATTCTGGCCATCATTTTTAAATGGAGGGAAATCTAAGCTAAACTCACAATGAATCCTCCTTTATTTTAACCACTGAACAGAATTGTTTTTTCTTGCAAAAACCCAGAGATTCACAAGTTAAAATAGATGTAAAAATAGATGTAATAGATGTAAAAATAGATGTTCCATCTCCTTCCAGTGCAGACCAGTTTTCAGTCAGCTATGGAGTTTTTATTTAACTGAACAGAAGATTTCTGGGTCCTAATAAGCAAACAAATGGTGTATGTTAACTTCACATGTGTGGTCTTAATACATGGCTTTATGCAAAAATGTATATCCTTGAAAAACTTGTACGATTATGTTCCTTTTTACAAAATCAGTCTGTAGTTACCAGAAAACTTAAGAGGTCTACAAACAAGGACAATTCAAGAAAAAGTTGTTTGTTTTTAAATGCATAAATAATTTACTTTAAAACATGACAAAACCCACCCCATCCCCAAAAAAACACAGTTGGAAGTGAATACAGAACACCATAATTGGGGAAATACTGATATATGTTAGTGCTTGTACACTCATAAAATTGCAAAAACATATTCCAGCTCTGAAGTGAAACATAATTGTCTAGACGTACCATACTTCTCTGGGGGGAAAAGCCTCTTCAGAAATCTCATGTCTAACTGCTATTAATGCAGTGAAATTACACATTATGTATAACTACGGATGAATATATTCCAGTATTTTGGTGTTATCTCAAGAGGGCTGCAATAAACATAAAATCGAATGTGCAAGCATTATAGTTTCTCCAGCCCAGGCTTAACCAGAGTGAAACAAATTTTGGAAAAAAAAGTTTTGCTCCACGATTAGAGAAGGGACATTTGTAACCAAGTGTCTTAACCTATCTGCACATTTAATTAAAGTGCAAATTATTTTTTCCTACATATACTTCTCAAAGCCCACCAACTCCAGTGCCTTAAGCTCAACCACATTGAGTTAAAATACTGAAACAACATTTAACAAATTAAATAGAATTCACACTTCACAGCACTAAAGAAAAGAATGGTACCTTTCTGGAAAAAAATTAGTGACACAAACCTAAAGAAAGTAACAGCAATTTATGCTATGACATGAGTCATTTGCATAAAACTTGTATTTTTTTCACTTTCATACAAGAATAAATTTTAAAATTCAAAAGTAGAAAAAAATAGCAAACTCTGTAAACCTTTGCATTTTCTTTATGCAAACCATTTTTGTGTGTTGAGCCCATGTTAGTATAGCAAAATTAGTTAAGCAAGAGGTTTGAAAGGGCATTTCAACAACTACATTAACTTAGAAGCAATATAGGATCTTCTAGCTCATAGAAAGGAATTGAACTAGACTGGCTTTCTCCAGAGTCTGAGTCATAAGGAGCATCAGGCAGCTCCATAAAACCGTAAGCTAGCTGTTCGTCTTCTGTATCTGATCGAACATAGCAGGAAGTGTTGGAATACTCCTCATCCTCTATACTGTTGAAATCCTGTGGGATATACAACATTCCTGGGTAGTTCCTGCTAACTAAGTCACTGGTGGTTTGCAGGGAAGTTTTTCTAAATGCCATCAGGTGCATGTGAGAAAACTTAGAATACTTGAAGCGTTTAAAACCCAAGGACTCTATGGCAATTTTCCAGCTTTTCATCATCATAGCCCGGCGATTCTGGTGAGATGAATCAGGAGTTATTACAAGCAATAAGCCATTTAATACGAGAAGTTCATGTGCCTTCTTGCAGCATATCCATCGTTGATAGGGTGATGGAAAGTAAGAAAGGAGGAGTGAGAAAACGACGACATGGAACAGTTCTCCAGGTAGAGAATCAATGGGATTTTTCAGTTGCTTAAGAAAGGCATCTATAGCATCTTGTGCCAGTTGGAGAGGTTGCTGAATTTGAAGATTTAGGAAGTCACATTTGTATACGCTCTGGTGGAATAACAAAAACAGAAAACCAAGCACCAAGGTTAGTTTAAAGAGCAAATACAACCAAGACCCACAGAAAAATCAGTGACCTCTCAGTTCCCTTGAGGAAATGTCAAGCCTGCTGAACATTCCTCTTACTATTAAATCAAACAATCTAAAAGAAAAATTTAACACACATGCAAAATTTTAGATGTGCAGTATTTTACTAGAGATTTGATAGCTGAGAACTGTTAATATAAAAAAATATTTAGCTCAAATAGAAAAAGTATCAATTCAGCTATCTCAAAAATGATTTAAGAACTCACATAAGCCTACACTGCTTTTTTTTTTTCCAGGTGCTGAAAGCTTTTGTAGGTTTCTATAAACCTGAAATGAGCAATTAGAAACTAAATTTGAGACCTCAGTATTTTCTACCAGTTCTTTAAAAAGAATCCAAGGAACTTAGTAGTTTGGTCACTTGGAAAAAAGTGTCATTCTTTACTAGTACAGAAATAAAGAATGGTGAGGCAATATCCATTATAAAATTACAGAACACTGACTGCTTTGCAGCAGTGATATAGGTACATGTTTTAACACGCTGTAAATGCAAAGTGTAGTGGTAAACATTTGGGCAATTATCAAAATAAGGTAAGGACTACAAATCATTGTACACTCAAGCTGTCAAAGACAGGAAATGACAGCACAATACAACATACAGAAGAGTAAATTCTTAGCATCCTTAATCACAAAGGACTCAAAAATTAAAGCATGCTATTTAGTGAATTTAAGTTTTGACTTAATTTATGTCATCAAAACCTGGGACTGACTTTTCATAAAAATGTATTAAAATGTATGAAGATATAAAGTTTTGAACTGATAGCAAAAAAATTTTTTATTAATGCCTAGAGAATGTGCAGTGAATGACACTAAACAGGTAAGTGAATGTGAAAGCAGACACAAAACACTCTGTGGAGCACATCTGAAAGGTTACACCTGCTGCATTTTAATACCATGAAAATATCTGTAATGTGTTTTATGAAACAATATTAAAAAAAGATTACTAGAACACTATTGCAGAGGTGTTCATTAAGGAACTGATATGCACAATTGTTTCCAAGTACAAGATAATGTAATTTCTTTATATACGTAAAGAAAAAATGTAATTTGGTTATATAAAATCACAATCTGTTCTGAGAGTGAGCAGAAAATTAGAAAAAGTAATCAATGTTCAAAAAAATCTGAGATTTATTTTTCATTAGCTTTAATCTTGGCCTTCAATATGTTAAAATCAAGAAAAAGATTTGCATTATGTGGCTACAACCAAGAAATTTTAATTGCAATCATTATACTTGCAGGGCTGTATTACATTTCCTTGTAATACTTAGAATAGGAAATTAACAGTAGCAATTTCATGCTATCTTCTATTAAGTTTTAAAAGAAGCATTTTGAAAACTAATTGTTCAGAGTGACATGCCAACTTTACTTAGAACTTCAAAACTTCAAAGACTTAAAAAGTTAGTCGTTACACAAATACAGTTGAAAAAACAATTTAGACTGTAAGTATTTCTGAGTAGTGGAGAAATACAAAGCAGTTATGCAGAAATAATGTTAAAGACAGTTTCAAGACTAAAGTATGTTTCGAGTGGACTCGGAATTCTGTAGGCACTTTTAGGACAAAAATGCCGCTAAACTGGAGTTTGCTATTAAACTCTAGATAGGGAAGTCTTGAACTGATGTTAAAGTCCTCACAGATACTGAAAGAGAAGTCATATCTCCGTGCATCTGCTGACATTTAGGAACACAATCCTACTTATGTGAATAATTTTCACATATATTTCACAAAATATTCTGAGTTGGAAGGGACTCTCAAGGATCATTGAGATATATATTCTGATTTTTAATTCCAGTACGCTTCCAAACTCTTTTTTTTTGTCTCAGACTGTATTTACTCCAATACAACATCTGCTGTATATGCAGCATGTTTTGCAGCAGTATGAAATTTTATTTGGATTTTCCCAAAGTGAAGATTCTCCCTTCATTTCAGTCTTTTCTTTTTTTTTTTTGTAGACAAATTAAACTCCTCTAAGAAAACAACCACTGATTCTGGACTATCTGTGTTTTAGGCAAAATGTTTGAAGGAATAGCCAAGAAAGACTCTGGGTTGTGTCAGATTACCCCAGCCTCAGTTTCCCTCCTCCTAGTTTCTAATACTGCATGTTTCCCTCAGTGTACCTTACACCAAGACACTGGAAATAGGTACACACTGCCTAGCTAAAAGAAATATTAATCTTTTCTTGGTGCAGTTCCCCGCTCACTCTCAAAACTCAAAACCTTTTAATGGAAATATATTTCCATATTCATATATCTACAGTTTACATTCCTTGTACACAAAACAGATGCTAACATTTTGAAGACATTAATCCATTTGTTACGTAATTAACATTCCAGTTCCTCTCCTAGTATTTCCACAATTATATCCTTCTTATTCCTCAAATTAACTGAATTATTTTACTCAACTGCTTAGTCTATATCCAAAGCATTTCTATATGCAAAAAGTGGATTAATCTATTTTTATTAAAGAAGAAATTATTTAACCCTCTACACAATATTATTCAAGACACCGACTCTGTAAGAAGACACTGTACTTAAACGTGTTTAAAGGGTACTTTGGCATCTTGCCTAAGAGATCTGCTAAATCAGAAAATGTTACCAGTTCTTCTATTCTCAGCTTCTACCACAAGTTATCAGATCAATTTTTCAGGTCAGAAGATGATATTAACTACTGTAGCAAACTTCTAGCTATTATTTAAAAAAATCTTAAATGAGTCCATGCAACTGCTGGCCTAAATATAAATTTATTCAGGAGGTTATGGTGCTGATGCAGCTCATAGTAGAGTCATCTTCAAAACATCAGGGCTTATTAATTCTGTTTTGGAGGTAGGCCTAAGCTTATTCTAGTACATGTATTTGACTGTGCGAACTGTACTCCATGTCACTCCAAGAACACTTGCTACTAGGTTTCAAGGTGCCCTGAACACGCCAAAGTACCCAAAAGAATGGAGTAAGTTTGTCAGCCTGAGAGAGGCCTCACAGTAAATATGTGTGTAGCTACATGTACAGTCGCACTCTGGGAAGCTCCTATCATGAAGCTATAGTACTATGTCAGATGACAAGAAATCAATTATCATTCCCTTGTACTGGGAGAGAGTCTAAAGAACTGGTTAGTACATAGAAATTGCGTATGTTCCTCCATTAGCTCCACAGAAGTTACCTTTCTGAGGCTTTTCCAACAATAGTTTTGGTCACTGTACACTTAAATTTATTTTCATGAAAAAAAATGTAGCTTTCTTATGAAAACAGAACGATAGACTAGATAGAAAAATATTAACTATGCATACCCAAAAATTAATGGTTAGGTTCAAACGATATAACTTTAGGTGCATAGGCTCCCATTACAGTCACTGGAGAACTAGTCAATACAAAATCCAATTCATCTCACCATCAAACACCAGACATTTAGCTTTCACTATTTTTAATAGATCTCCACTAACTGTAATAAGAACTTAAAACTTGAGATGAGACACTGAGGATCTATGTATCTTAGCTGGAAATTCACTTGCCATGTATTACCATTTTGGATGCCAGTGGCGGCTATTTCAGTGGCCTGTGTCTCTCGTACATGCTGTGCCATGCCCAACAGCCCTATGCAGATGTCCTACAGCCTCTGAAGTGGTGGAAGGCAAGAACATTTGGGCAACTGATGCCTATTTTTCAAATTAGGCAAGATGGAGTCCACTTGAAGTTTGTGTTTTCCATGAAACTAATATTGAACTGCTTTTAAAAGCACTTAATCACTCAGATTTTTAAATAACATCTTTCAGTATCTCTAAGCATATACACAAAATACAAATTAGGTGTTAGTGGACTAAATGTGGTAGCCACAACAAAATGCCACACATTACACATGTAAACCACACTGCAGCAAATAAGAGAACACGGCTTTCAAGGTAACTGTGTTATTTTACGTGTACACTTCTTCTCACCTCTCCACTTCTAAAGAGGATTACCTTAGGCCACAGATTTTAATTGAGTCTGATTTTAAACTGTAAGTGGTCAAAGTGTGTATAGTCAAAGGCTTTTCTGTTTTCTGTCAGAAATGTATATCTGTGTCTTTTTCATTTTTATTCCACTTCATCATTTTGCTTGGTTGATAAATGTGATTAGCGCTGACAAAAGTTGGGTCAAGAGCAGAAGACAGAAAGAACATATGATTACAGCAGAATTAATGCATTTGAGAACCTTACTACGTAGAGAAAATGAAGCAACTTACTCCATATGTGCTGATAAATTTGTCCTCTGGATTGTGAAAGTTCAATAATATTACTAGCAATAAATAGAAATGCTCCCTTACAGTGCACTTCTGATTACTAAAGCTCCCCAGAAAAACTCACCAAATACAGTCACTGATCATTTCCTTCCGTCAGCAAATGCAGCTTCTGAGAGGTTCTTGCCTAAGTGTAAGCCTACTGAAGTTTTATTTATGCCTTTTAAAATGCAAGGACATATCTGAAATACCATTAAAAAAAAGACGGCTACTAAAATTTTCCAATTTTAAGATTAATAACACCATTATAAAGGCAAAGCTCTTGAAAAAAATATTTTTAAAAGAAAACACAACTAGGGTTTAGAGCCTGTTCATGGGAAAGGATGTAGTAGGAGTGCCACCATTCCTATTATAGCACAGATATTTAGAAAACATAGTTAAGTATTAAATATACTTTTTTCATAGTAATTTTGAGACATTCTAAAAATCTTTATATTAAATTCGGCAAACGTTACATACCTCAACAGCTGGAACAATGTCTATGCCAACTGTCAGAAATTCTTCAAACTTCAGAAATGGATTAAAGCAGCTACCAACATCAAGTAATCTGATCTTTCCCAAGGAGTGAAGGAACCTAAGAAGCAGCAAGAATCCAGTTTTATCAAATGTTATTTTTAAAACTATATTCTCAATTACAATTTCAGATAGCTAATGCAAAAAATTCTCACAGAACACCATAGCAGTGACTAATAGAAGTGAATGTCTTACTTCAATTGCTGAGATACCTAAAGAACCAAGCTCCCTCAGTAAAAGCAGTTGGTGTTCAATCAGAAGTCTTGTTCAGAGCAGCTGTAATATTATTCACTTGTGTACTTGTAGTAAGTAAATAAAAAGGCAAATTGTGTGTCCACTAGACAGGCTTTCTCTTATTGTTTTGTGTTTCTCACTTACCTTTTTTGTGGTATTTGTTGGTGTTGAAGTCATATTAGACACCAGAGTTAAAACTGCAGGAGTTGAAAAGGGAAACTGGCAACACTATGAACTACATAGTTGACAATTCCATTTTAAAGGGCATCTGAAGTCAAGTGGCATAATTGGTTTAATGAAGACAAGAAAACACATTCCAAGGTAAAAAACCCAACAACTATAAATGAAAGCATTTAGTTACTCCTTGCAAATTTAAAACAATATTTTATTTGTTTTATGTTAGCTAATTTTTTTTTAACAAATGACTGCTGGAGGTTCACTCCAATTCTGTTCTCAATGGATGCTGTGAAAGAGCTAAATCAGTCCATGCAGAGTCACAAACATAAAAACTAGCTATTCAAGTTGTAGGGAAGTTATTCTAAACATTTAAATGAAATGAAGTATCTCCTCAAAACTACTGGGGGGGAAAAAGTCTATTCCATGCCATGCAATCAATTTTCTTTTTGAGAATCCAAAAGGTTTTTAATGAGAAACAGTCAAAAACAGCCATCTAGTTTAGGAAAGAAGTTCCTAAATCAGAGTACTTCTGAACTACTCTAAAATGAAGATTTATCCTGTAAGAATTCTGGAGAACATCTGCCACTGTGTGATAACCCTATTCAAGGTGAAATTATAAATAAGAAGGCCAATATCTGTAATGCTAAACACTGAAATATGCTATCAAACAACAAAGGTAAAAAAAAAAAGGGGAGGGGGGATTAACTTGAGAAATCATTACTTACTCCTTAGACTGATAAAAAGAAGTTGACATACTGCTAAAGACACTTTAATAGACAATGGTGTTCCAGAATGCTACAGAGATGCACACATACCCTTTCAAAACTTCATGGGAACTGAAAAACGACAAACAAAAACCCCACACTGAATAACTGGCCCATCATCTTCTCAAACAGATTCCAAAACTTACTGAGTAAAAAAAACAGAGAGGTGATCAGAAAGAAAACAGCAGACTGAAGAAACAAGAAGAGGATATTCTTGTACTGTCTGGTAGAAGCCCCCATTACAGCACAGCAGAAAATATGCTGCAGGTTGGCAAATGAGATTTGCCTTCTCTTTGGAAGCTCTGATGTCACCTATGACCAAATGCAAAACCAATCTGAAATGCCTTTATGAAGATAAAAGACACCATTGTTCTTTTCTTGAAGCTAAATACATAGTTTAAGAAAAAAAAACAAAGATGTGTGGCAACTTTTGAGGATAGTGACTGCTGACTTACCTCTGAAAGCATTCTTACCTTCTAAAGGATAGCCTCCTTTACCAAGGCCCAGAGTAACATTCCTGGTCTTCAAGTTTGCAACAACAGGCATTTTTTTCATGACTAAGGCAGTTACTACCATATATAATGTAGCATCAGGTAACATCAATGCACCTGTACAGAAGTACTGGCAATCAGCGGTCTTGTCATCGTTTAAAGGTTTTGCCTTGTCCTGATACTTATCTAACCTGATATGCTGCACTCTTGAAAGAATTAGAATGTTGCACTCAGTTATCATGAATATTAAGGACTCAGCTGTTACATATCCTACAATCAAAGACACATTTTTTATTTTCCTTGCATTCTGAATTTAGAGACCCTTGCTGCTTATTCTTTCCTTGCAATTGCAAAAAACCAGTAAATGCTGGAGTTAAACAATTCTGTTCCAGTCCACATGTACAGACTCTACACTCACCTGTTCTATAAAGCACAACTTGATGACTGCATCCACATAATTAAAAAAAAAAAGAAAAAAAAATATACAGCACTACTACTACTACCAGCCAACAGTTTGAGCTCTTTCTATTAGATCATTTACAGGGCTGCATCTAAAAAATTTCCATGATGATTTGTAACATATTAGAACATCCAAGCTCCATTAATAGAGGCAAACAAAGTCACAGCTTTCACAGGGACTTCATGGAGAAGAGAACGGTAATAAACCTTCCAGTAAGCAAATGTTGTTTTTTGCTTCAAGTTTCTGTAGCCAAAACCAATTGTCATCTCCATAATATCACTTGTCATGTTTCTGGGAAAGAGTCAGTCCTAGAGAGGGAGATAACTTCAAAAAACTTTCAGAAACAGATCTGCAGGGCCAGTGGAGTCCAACCAAGCCATGGCAGTACTTATAGCAACAACAAAGCAGTAAGGAATACTGCAGGAAAAAAAAGCCTTTAAGCAACAATAAAGAAATCTAGGCTCTCTGGGCTCCTTCCAGACTCCCAGTCACCTCCCAGAGAGAGGATGTTGGAGAAGCAAGAGAAAACATCTTGCTGCATTTGGCAGAATAATAACGCCAAGTTTAAGTATTTTGCTTCTATATGGAAGAGAAGACATCCAGGACTCACTTCTCTCAAAATACCACCACGACCAAGGCAAACAATGCAAAAATTATCTTTAAGTTAAAACTGCAAACATTACCAAGCTACTCCGTAAGTCAGTACCGAGTGTGATTTCAGAATGGAGATGACAGCAACAATGTTTCCAAGCTTTGATAACAATAACACTGTAATCTGTGCAACAGGAATTTGCATAGTGTTGAGGCAGATCCTAGTGGCCATAAATCACAAATGTGGACTGAGGTCAAGTAGTGTCTTTTCCCATATAAGGGTAGTACGAGATTTCTCAGACCAGCATATCTCCTTGTCTATCAGATGGAGACACTAATGGCAGATTCTCACCCATTCAAACACAAAAATGTATGCCTTTATATGCCTGTGCTCTATATGAGAGTCCAATATGGTAACAACAAATCAACAGACACGTGGGACCACAGCAAACATAACGAGAGGGAACATGGCTTTACCGTGCAGAGATAACTTCCCATAAAAAGGAGAAACAGACTCTAGAGATCTAAACATTTTCCTTTAAAGTGTTCAATGAAATAGAACAAAATTAAGCCGCACAACCCAGAACCATCTAATTTCCAGAAGAGCCCACTTCACCTATGGTTGAGTGAAGAAATTCACGATGATGTATTCTGTCTTCCTATTTACAAAACCTGCATTCTTTGCTGCAGCATTATTTTTGACTGCTTAAAGGGGGACACTACTTCACACTACTCCAGCATTGGAGCACATTTCTGGAAACCTAAAACTCTGTATTCCAAACTAAGCAGAAGCCAGAACCTCCCGTCTACACTAATGGACAACTAAGACATTTGATACGGGGCAAATTCACCCTGGTAAGTGTGTCACATCTAAGGAGTCCTGTAGTCCATGTTCAATATATAAATATACTTTGAAACCACAAAAGTAGCAGATTCAGATGCTCGCTTGTGTCTTGACTTCCTGTTGCTTGTCAGGTTTTGCTGTCTCTTGGAATACTGGTACAATGAATGACTTAGTAGCAATCCTCAGACTGTCAGTTATCAGTAGGAGCAGGATACTAATTAGGTGCTTGAAATAATTTTGAAACTATTAAGAAGCACTTAGATTCTGTTACCAAACATACACAAAGAGCAAGGACCACTGATTCCGGTGGTCTGAAGATCACTAGTTCAGATACCTGCTTTTCAGAACTGTAACTCAAGTCAGATTCCTCAGTGAAACTGTAACTGTAATCTACATGACAATCACTGACCCCATGAGTCACTGACGTTGTTAGAAATGTACTCTTGCTGAATTCATTGTTAATCACCCTTCAATGTCCTGTTTCCTAATGATTTTCAGTCAAGGCAACATTAAAAACATGGGAACTACTTTGCCACTACAAGCAATCTCCAAGCATATCTTGAATCCAAAGTTCTTTAATGTAGGTAGCAATGTGCAGGTAGAAAACCAAAATGTGAACAGTCAAACATCAGAAACTGGTAAAGAAGGAGACATAACCTGGAAAATGAGTGCATTTTAAATACATCCCACACTTGTTCAGTTTAAAAACTTGTCCCTGCCCACGGCAGGGTGATAGGAACTAGATGATCTTTAAGGTCCCTTCCAAATCTAACAGATCTATGATTCTAACTTGATTGAAAGGACTGCAGCTCTTGATTATTAGCCCACTTAAAAATGCATCTATTATTCAACTAAGTGCTATGTACAGGTAAGTAACATTTTCTCTTGGAAGTAGATAAAAAGAGAACAATTACATGACCATAAGAAAAGTCACCTAATCTCTGACACAATTCACTTCAAGTGCTGATGTCCTAGTTTACAGTTTTAAGTTACTCTACTATTTATCAAGGATGGGATGGGGAAACAGTTCAGAAGCCCTATGCCGCTGCCAGAAGAGCAGAACCAAAATATACATCAGGTTCTGAGTGGTAACACTGGGAGACCTCAAATCTTTCATAACATCCACATATAAAGATATCCAATGGGAAGGTCTGTCTTGCTGAGACACACATGAAAGAAGGAATGTACCATCAGAGGTCAAATCAGCATCTGAGAAGAATCCATACCAAAAAGCAAGACTGCTCAATTTGACAGAAAAAGAATAGAAACAATACTCAAAAAGAAAACAAAGGAGGGGCTGATTTATTAAAGGGAGGAGCTGTTAACCAGCAGATAATAGCCACTTTTATCTTGCAAGATTGAGTCACTTTGATGTTCAGCTTCACAACAGACGCAGTTGTAATGTTAGAGACATTAAAATGCCTCTAATCACATGTAGAGAACTCATTCTGGGATGGAAGGAAGTACTGTGGACAATACCTTACTTTTCATATAGACGGAAGAAAAAAAAGAACTGCTCACATTAGTTGTTTCTGAGAGAACTCATCAATTTTATTCTGGCAAAGAGGTGAGCAACATGAGCAACTAGAACTGGGTTCATCAAAGTAGCTGACTGACTTTCTGATCTGCAGCAAACTTTGTGCTTCTGGTTCCTACAATATTTCCCACCATCACCTTTAAGAGCTGAGTGCCTGAGTGCCTACTTCTCTCCAGTTCTCCCAGCATCTTTTTTTACTAGATGGTGAACTTTTATTACCAAGCTAGCTTTGCTCCTTACCAAGTACAGGACAGTCTCTCTATAATAATTTGTCAGTACAGGGAAATTCAGGAAGACTTCTTACCTGGTTTTAATACTACTTGAGAGAGGATTATATATGGAAGGAAAAAATTATTGTCTTTATACTTACCAGAGTAAAACAAAAGAGTCACAGACTTAGTCATAACTATAGACAAACTCACAACTCCTATTTGTACTATTACATGATTGGAATGTAGATTAGACCACTTATACCTTGTTGATTTAAGGTCTGTACAGCTACTAAAAACCTTACTATCATTTGTTGCTTACTCAGGTAAGTATTATAAAACTTGCCTTGCCAAGAATGTCTTTATGGGTGTATATATTTTTTAAAGTTTTGAGAATGAAAATAAAAATAATCATCACTCGCTATATTAACAAATACTTTTAAAATAAGTTACAAAATTTCTCTATAACTACTTTCTATACACACTAGTCAGAACAAAAGGGAAGGCTACAGACTACTTGTAGCAAGAAGGAATTCGGGTGAAGTCAGCTCTGCAACAGCCACTATTAACTGTAGAAAGTATGAAGACAGAGTTCATGCAAAGAGAGCGTTAATGCTTTTTGACAATGCCTCCTACTGGAAGATAAACGAGCTTTAAGTAGTGCATGATCATCAAACCTATTGATTTAAACAAACATGAGAGACACAAAAAATACCAGTTCCTAAGGACAAACATGTGCTTATAATAACATCAGCAACTTGTTCATTCTTTTCCTAGCTGATACTACATCTACCTTCAAGTAAGTGCTGATCACAGAAGACATGCTACAATAATGAGAAAAAAAATCTCTTTACACAACAGAACAAAAACCCAGTACTGCGGGCAGTTCTAAGAACTGGTCTATAAAGAATAAAACAAGTCATAAGTGTAGCATATACAGACTCTATACTTATGCTTTCATTATTTAGTTGTATTTGCAAAATATGATTTTTTTCCCATCACACATGGAATAGCCACAAACATGACCCTATTATTTAGGAAAAAATAACAGAGGGTGAGACTTCACTGAAATAATACAGTTAGCCTTGAACACCAAAAATAAAATTCTTACTTGAGTGAAGGTCATAAACATAATTAAAACTGTTGTTAGGAAAATACCTCAAGGATACTACAACTTTTGCAGAGCCAGTCATCAGAAAGCTAGCACATTAAAAGTTAACGGTTGTAATTCAAAATTGCTTTTGAAGTATATAATTGGAATCAAGAGTTTCTCTGCAATTATTTATGAAGAGAAAGTTTTAAGTACTCTGATATTTACATTTGGCACTTAGTACTTACATAAGCAATTGACTTTTCAACAGTGCTGAACAGCCATTAGATTCTAACTTAATTAACATCTCCCTTATTTCACCTCAAGGTTTAATATAAATTGCATTGCACACCAATGACATACTAAAGTGAAACTGCTCTAGCACTTAAATGCAGATGACTAAGTTGTCATTCTCAAACATTTTTTTATGGCATCCACCAAAATATACTACAACATAAGTAGTTCTTGAAATGTATATATTCACATGAAAATGCCCTTTCTTAACTATTAAAAACACATCAGACTGATCTAATGAGTTATGGGGAAAAATGTCAGGGTAAATTTTAAAACTCACAAAGGGGGAAAAAGTCTAGAAAACAAATAAAACTTACTCCTCTGTCATAGTTTCATGATTTGTCAAGCCAAAGTTTGGCAAAGGATCTTCAATCTTGGGAGTCTGAGGAACATTTAAAGCTGGAGTGGTCTTAGAAGCAAGAAGGGCTCTTTTTTCATCTTTCTCAAGTGCTTTTCTTTTTCCACCGTTCTGAAAATATTCTCGGCATACACTGAAAAAACAAAAAGAAAAATTCCCCAGGAAAACTGAATGCTCTTTTTGGTCATTACTATAGGTAACACACAAACCAAAGGTTTAAGAGATACAAGTGCTGTCAGCTTTTAAACAAATCTGGGTTTTACTGCAACTTTGGTAAACCAGCTTTAGAAAGGATGTGATACACCCAACAACACATCTGAAGTCCAGTGGTGAGTTTTTGTATTTTTTTCCCCTCAAATTAGGCTGTAAGTCACAGTTGAGTAAACAGATTCAAGATGGTTTTATCTGGATGGACCTTTAAGCAAGACAGCAGAAGTCTTGTCAGAACATCACCAGAGGATAAACTGCAGCTGTCACCTGAGCACCACAGTTATCCACTATGGTGTGAAGAGTTATTAAGTAGCTCTCTGTAAACACAGAGGACTTTGAAAAATCTGTGTCTTGTCAGGCACATAATATGAGAGAAAAGAAACACAATCCAGGGTTATGGGCTGACTTACATCCACCAGTTTTCAATTTTAATTGAGTTTGCCTGGGCATTTTTTGTTTTTAACTAACAGATATCTGCAGTAGCTGTATCATTGTGGAAGACTTATTTTAGCTTTCAGTTTTCCCTCATATTTAATTATTTTTCTTATAGGAATTGGAACAAAATAAACTAGCCATACTTGGAAGAGAAATGTTAGCCAGTTTTAAGAAATTAACATTACCAAAAAAGTTAAATTACACCTGCATACTTCAACCAGTAGTCAGCATTAGGGCATGAGAAGCAAGCATTTTGTTCGAGAAACTGAATTTCATCCAAAAAAACAGAACTAGAACTGGTAACAATTTGTTGCTGTGCAATTAAAAAGCCTGACTCTCCCTTCACAATGCAGTATTTTTAATTAGATGTGCCAGCCAAGTATCTGCATGGAAAGTTTAACAGAAATAGTACTTGTCTGAATAATGTTTTCCGAACAACCCACTTTTGTGATGCTTTCTTGAAATTCATTCCATTTTCCTCTAACAAAGCTGTAGAGGTTTGAAGGAAACATTCCAGAAAACATAAATTCAAGCGTAGTATAGTAATATCTTATACAAAGCAGATTCAAGATAACGGTATTTCAGATCATAAATTCAGGAATGGACATGTTGGTATAATGCTGCATTTAAATCACAAATTGCGACAAGGACTTGGAATACATAGGCCTTATCCAAAGTTTTTATGGTATTTTAGGCACCAAATATACACTATATAAGATGTGAAGGATAAAAAAAAAAGTCATTGGAGTGGAGTTGAGTTTCTTAGATGGAAACATACACAATCAGACAGGTATAGACAGAAGTCATTTAACTCCAAGACAGGTAGGAAAGAAGCACCTTGAATCAGAAATGTATAACCACAGAATCAGTAAGGTTGGAAAGGACCACAGTGAGTCATGCGGTCCTACATCCCTGCTCAAGCAGGATCATCCTAGAGGACATTGCACAGGATCGTGTCCAGACAGTTCTTGAATATCTCCAGTGAGGGAGACTCCATGACCTCTCTGGGCAGCACAGTCACTCCCACAGTAAAGAAGTTCTTCCTCATATTCAGGTGGAACTTCCTGTGTGTCAGTTTCTGTCCATTGCCTCTTGTCCTATTGCTCAGCCCCACCAACAAGAGCCTGGCTCCGTCCTCCTGACACCCTCCCTTCAGATAAAGACATTGATGAGGTCCCATCTCAGTCGTCTCTTCTCAAGGCTGAATAGGCCCAGCTCCCTCAGCCTTTCCTCAAAAGAGAGATGCTCCCGTTCAGGCTGCAATACTACCAGACATATAGACTGTAAAACCATACCAACTCCATCCATTAGAGATTGCACATACGGAAAGACAACAATTCTAAAATCAACAAAGTTAAAGCAGAAGGAGCCAGTCACTTAACTTAGCAGGAAAGAGAGTTAAAAAAAATCAATAAGCAAAAGAGAACCAAAGAAAAACACTTGAATTACTGCTGGTATGCTAATTAAAGTGTATTTTACACTATATTGGATTATTTATTTATAAGCATGTGATCAATTTAGAACTATTTAGTTCTGTGTGCAATTTAGTCAAAAAAATGAAACTTGGAAAGAAATATATTTTTCCTCAATTTGTCAGCTATTGGTACCGCTTCGTTAGCACCTTCCAGTCTCTTTATTTTTATTCCAAGTCTTTTCCTTATTACATCTCTTAAAACATCCAGAATCAATGGCAGTTTAAGTAGTGTTATACTGCCATTGATGCTGACATATAAACCACAACACAGTTCACAACCTTGGGAGAATGTATTGCTTTTTTTCCTCCACTATTCATGTTATCAACCTTTTAACTCTCTAGAAGCTGGTAAGCTGCCCAGCTTAACACTTAGTGAGCTGTTGCACAGGAAAACCACCTACTCATAAAGTACAGTATAAATTCCTCTTGTCACTGACAAGGCATTGTTTCCTCATTTTTGGTACTGATGCAAATCAGTACTTTTTCCATCCTTCTACCCCTGCCTATCATGTCAACTGAGTTCTCATAATTCTGTATTCTTCTCAACTGACCTTCCTCATCTGCACATAAGACACTGCCAGAGTCAACCACATGGAGAAGCATCTTCTACTCCTTGGTTTTCCCTGGTGGACAGAGGGCAAGAGCCACAGGAAGGCCCAAGAATGGATACAATTCTTCATGTTCAGATTCTAGTCTGCATACCACTGCAGTACCACAAAGTACAAAAAAAACCCCAGCCAAATCCACCTATCCAAACAAAGAAAAACCCAGGTCACAATGCACTTCATAACCACTGAGGCTTATCTCCCTTTTATGCTTTTCTGAAGGCACAGTGATTCTGGCATGATCTGGCATGTTGCCCTTTTGGCTCCTGAGCCTTCAGAGGAGCCGCCTATGTACTCCCCTTGTGGAACTGAACCACACACCCACTTTGGGGTAACAGTGAGCATGTGAGCAGGCACTGTGCTAGTAGCTAACCAGAAGTAATGCACTCCGTAGTTTACCCCACAGTAACTTGTTGATGTAGTCACATGTTTAACTTCATGGCCTTTAAAATCTGTCATTGGTCACTGGTTTTGAGTATACGGTTATATAAGATTCTGCATTTAATAACTGTCTCGAGTAATGAACACAGCATCTCAATTATCTACAAAGAGAAAATTAAGGAATCTATTTTATAATTCTGAGAACTGACATGGCTCCATTTTTAACTGACATTTAAATATTCAGTCTTTGATGACACAATATTAGGTCTACAATTAACATACCTGCTTGTGAAGAATTGTGCAATGTAAATGCTCCCTGAGCTGACACTTGCTACAGTTCACACAAAATGTGAAAAAAGTATTTCAGGTCTAAACTGTTTTAAGTTTGCTGGCAGAGATTCAGGTCAGGTTTCTGGGTGAAGTGTGCAGTTCATGTTGTTGCTTTAAAAAAGAAACAAAAACCCCAAACCTGTGTATTTCCTCAATGAAACTTGTTTTCCGTAGTTCAAATCTCAAACGGTAAATAACCTGTTCAAGCTGAGCCCCCTGCTCTGCCATGTGGGCTGGACACGTAAAGGAGGTCTCAGTTAAAGCCAATATGAATACATAATATTGTGTTAATACTCTCCAGCAAGAAAAGAGAAGCTTAGTTTTCAAAAAGAGTGATGACCAAACCTAAGCATTTCAACAGAATATATAAAGAAAAAAATGAGGGCGCCATTTCCAAAAAACACTATATGAAATTTAAAAGCCGTGACAGAATTGGTAATTAGCTCTTCTAAATTAAATTAAATTAAACTAAATTAAATGGAGTGGTCAACTTTTATCATGGTAAAAGGTAGTTTCTGATAGCTGTAATCAGTGCTTGAGGATTTCAAGCACTCAGTTTTACTGGCTAACTGACACAGTCCATCTCTTTCCTTCTGCTTTATAATGAGGAAAAGGTAAGCTTGATTCATGTTCCTTACCATATTTACTAACCAAAACCTAACACTGAAGATGACTTTCAGTGAGGACACAGAGAAATAACAAACTTCCCTTCAGAGCTGAAGGAAAGTCTGGACTTCCCATCATGGTTTCTGCCTGCAAAACATTTCTCCCCTCCTCCCACACGCTGAGGAACAAATTTATAAATGTCAACTGTCAGAGCTGCTAGCACGAAAAAAATAAAATTGCAAATGCTTCTACAGGTTTAACCCATCCACCTCCCAACATCCAAAGTGAAGTAAGGGAGTGTCAATTGCCCTTGTACACATTAATCATATAAGAGCAGAAGTTTCCTTTGGACTGGAAAATATTTTGCGATTGTCATGCACACCCAGCTTCAGGCTAAGGAAATCCAGTATTCAGCATAGGTGAGAGCAGTAGGTTTCTCAATGTAAAGTGTTATAACTTTTTATCAGTATAATTATATTTTTTTAAACTTCAAGTTGAGAAACTTGTATACAATACATTTTTCCATTTTGGTTTTGATACTTGGTCTCAGTTCTAGGGTTTTGAGACATTTTCTTTTTGAGAAATGCAACTAGATCTGTAATCAGATGTTTCTCTGGTGGTGTGTCCACCCCAAGCCAGTTTCTGGAGGAAGTATCTTTTATTATGAGAGGATTCGAAGCATTTGAAAATAGCCAGCAGTTATCATATGATCATTGCTCTAATTAGCTCTAGTGTTCAACAAATAGATTTGGTTTAGTCAGAACAAAACAGTCATAGAATATCCTAACTTGGAAGGCATCCACAAGGATCACTTAAGTCCAACTCCCGGCCCAGCACCGGATAGCCCCAAGAACCACACCATGTGCCTGAGAGTATTGTCCAAATGCTTCTTGAACTCTGGCAGGCTTGGTGCTGTGACCACTTCCTAGGGAGCCTGTTCTAGCACCCAACCACCCTCTGGGTGAAAAATCTTTCCCTAGTATCCAACTGAAAACTCCCCTGACATTCCCTCAGGTGCTGTCACTGGTCATCACAGAGATCAGTGCCTGTCTCTCCTCTTGCTTCACAAGGAAGTTGTAGACTGCCATGAGGTCTCCCTTCAGTCTCTTCTCCTCCAGGCTGAACAGACGAAGTGACTTCAGCTGCTCATCTGCTTCCCCTCAAGGCCCTTTACCATCTTCATTGCCCTCCTTTGGATGCTCTCCAACAGCTTTATATCTTTCCTATATTGTGGCTCCCAAAAATGCACACAATATTCAAGGTGAGGCCGCACCAGTGCAGAGCAGAGCAGGACAATCCCTTCCCTTAACTGACTGGCGGCCTGATGCCGTCCAGGACACAGTTGGCCCTCCTGGCTGCCAGGGCACTGCTGACTCATCTTCAACTTGCCATTGACCAGGACCTCCAGGTCCCTTTCTGCAGTGCTGCTCTCCAGTCTCTAGTTCCCCAGTCTGTACATACATCTAGGATTGCCCCATCCCAGGTGCAGAATCCAGCACTTGTCTTTGTTAAACCTCATACAGTTGGTGATTTCCCAGCCCTCTAATTGTCACGGTCTCTCTGAAGGGCCTCTCTTCCTTCAAGGGAGTCAACACCTCCTCCCAATTTAGCATCTGTACACCATATCTGTAAACTACAGTATCACCGGCAAACAATGTGTTTCACAGCAAAAATTAAGACTGTCATACAAATGTGAACACTGAACACTGTCTTTTCCTATTTTGAATGGTTTCCCTCCTCCTGTTTATGCCACCTCCCTCTTAATTCCATTCTCTTGAAAGTGAATTGTTTGAATAACCACATTCATCAAAAAACCTAAAACAGTGTTTAAGGGGCTTGCAAACATTCATTCATCCAATCTTCCAAACCAAAGATGATCAGCTTTCCTAGCAGAGACCTGTTATTCTCAAAGATCCTGTATGAGATTACTTAGCCTTCCCCCCTTCTGAGATTACTTAGCCTTCCCCCCTTCTTTTGACTAGACAGCTCCAGTTTCTAGAAAAGAACTCTAAGGCTTTTGTGGAAAAAATTAGAAGATTTTTCATAATTTCTTTATCATTCTTGGAGTTGAGCTGCTGTTTGTTATTTTTTAAGTGCAGTGGCCAAGGTGATATTTTGTCTAAGAGCAAAGCTAAATAAAGCCAGAGCAATACTTTACATATCTTGTTGACAATCTCATCCATACTCTCCAGTATGATATTTGCCTTTATTGCAAAAGCATCCCATGAATGCTTCATATTCAGTTTGGGGCCTGCTACAGAATCCAACCAATTATTCCATGGCCTGTATTTCTACAGCTGATAATGTTTAATATAGTTGATAATATTTAGTATAGTTAACAACAGTGCTAATTTTAATTCTGCTCTTAGAGTGACAATTCCTTTCTCTTTGCAAATTTACAAATTTAATAAATAAACTTTATTCTAGCAGACTTCTAATAAAAGTATTGATTAGTTATGGATACAGAGCAGACACTAACAGACTCCTTCTCAGTAAATCACATTTTAAGATAAGCTCCTCACATCTATTCTCTGTAAATTCTTCCAAACAGTTCTGCACTCACCTGACACTAATTTCAACAGAACCATATTTCTTTGCTCATGAAACAGTCAAAAGAGTTTTTTGAAAAAAATATAGGTCTAGATAATGTTTTGTCATGATAGCAAAGAATAAACTCTGCACTTCTAACTATTTAAAAAAACAGTCAAGTCAACACAAGTCTTAACACTGATGCAAAAGCAACAGAAAGAAGCAAACCTGCTGGTCTAGCTTATTTTGTTCTAACTAGAACCAGAATAGGCTGGCATTCACTGTCCACACAAACGTTCATCAGCCTACCTATGCCAGCAAAAATTAAGAGTTAGGACAATTAGTTTGGGTAAGCACCATCTTACCCTACCTCAGGGTTTTTCTTCATTTTGTGTTGCAATACAAATGAAAGAGAATCAGAAGTGTTAATTTGCAAATACCATTTGCTATTTGCAATTTTCTAAATATATAAAAAGAAAGGAAGGAAAGAACAGTTGAGTGTTGCTCAGGCTTTTTACACCACTGCTCAGGAGATAGCTAGAAAGACTTTTGAAAGGAGAACTCGGCAACAAAACTGTTATTCTTGATCCTGAGAAGTACACGTAGCTTCTCTAGTTGTTATTCTGCACTCTCTGATTTATTTTATCAGATGCTAAGAGAATATGAGGAAAATGAAGGAAAGAAAAAAACCCACAAAGTCTTTTGTGCCCCTTTTTTTTTTTACTAGTGGTAAAAACACTTCTCAGTTTCAGATCTCTGAAAAGATATTCCTTCAAATTAAAAAAAACCTCAGTCTCTCCTTTCTTCAGCAGGGATACACTGGTGGTTCCAAATTATTTTCAGCATTCCAGTCCCAAATTAAAATTCATCTAATATAAAACAGCTATCTTCCTGCCGTCATGGTGACACAGTAATAAGCATTGAGCAAAAGCTTTCGCTGAAGTCTCATGTAAGTTCTTTTGCGTGCAATTATGCACTCAGGCACAAGGAAGAGTAACAACAAGGGGACCTGCCACCTGTCTGGCACACCTCTTGGCCCTGTGAGAAGGAACAAAATATTGCAGAACACTAAGTCAATCTGGTATGTTCTGGTATTTAGCAACCCAGGCCTCGGTTTATGCTGAGACACACAGAAATGAAAAATACCCCTCTCTTTCTGCTGATGTAAAAAATCCTGACCCCTTGACTTCGCAAACTGAAGTTACACACTTTATCTGAAGCTTTATACTAAGACAGAGCATTTTAGTGTCTCTTAATGGGTGAATTCTCTTCCTTATACAAGCTCAGGCTGCAAGGCCCAAACTGGACACTTATTTAAATGTTTACTTTGTAAATGATCTATAACAGAAACCAAGTAAGAGCCCAAAACCTTCAATACACAGGCCATCAGCTGTCCTCCCCTGTCCACAAAGAACATTATGCTGTCCTACAGGGTAACTGACAAGCTTGCCACAAGCTGAGGGAATATTGCTTACCTGAAATTAAAGTGCACACAGCCCTACTGAAA